AAAGGAATTGATAACAAAATATCGTTGCAATCGATTCCTGCCATCACTTTATGCTTTGAACACACGTTTGAAAACATTTTGTTTGATCCATATATTAGACACTATTATATGAAAAGTGTTTATTATATTTTACCTGAAATTTATAAATGCAACTTAACTGGAAATCATATTAAAGATATTTTAAATTATTACAAGAAAACTAACCCTGTTGGATTTATTAATAAGATTATATATAGAGGCAATAAGCAAGTAAAAACAAAGTATTACCATAATGATTTAATTAATACCAAACAATATATTGAATTTTTACACAAATATCTTGACGTTAATTCATACCAAGAATTCAAACAGAATTTGCGGACAATTAATGAGAATATTCTGGAATCGACTCGAAATGAGTTAGACTTCTATTCGAGTCATATATTCTGTGATATCGATGTGTTTCATTTCCAGAATATTCTTTACAATTAGAGTCATATATTCTGTGATATCGACAGTCAATACAAATGTCAAGAATCGAGACCTACTTTAAGAATATTATCTCCTTTTGGAAAATGTAACACATTTTTGGCTATTTTCAGTCCAAATGAATCAATCAATGAGTTTAAGGATAGCATTAATTTTAAAGAATATCGTGGTTTTGATATAATATGGAATAAAATAAGTTATTTGAGAAAAAAGTTTATAATTCATTCATACAATACTTTACCAAAAATGACAGATAAAGTGATTGAATTTAAAGATGATATCAATTCTATGCATAAAATAATTAAAATAATTAGATATTCATTGAAACGGCTGCCTAAACCATATGACACTAATTGTAAAGAATATTCTGGAAATGAAACACAATTTCATTGTCTAAACACATGCTATGAAAAGTCATATCAGAATCACTTCCAATGTATTCCCAAATATAACAGTTTACTAACCATTCAATTACACAATCAATACATTCAACCAAATGTTACTTTTTGTCAAAATTATTATATTAATAATGAAACTGAATTCAACACAAAAATAATTGAATATTGTCGACATAAATGTCCTGTCTCATGTCAAGATAATTCATATTTATTTCATGTTAGCGACACCACTATGACAGTACTTGATTCTGGATATATATATTATAAATTTCAATTAAACAACAATTATTACATCCAGATTAATTATTCTGCGAAATACCTATTCATAGATCTGGTGCTAAGTATAGCCAACACATTGAGTCTATGGCATGGAATCAGTTTCATTATTAATATAATAATTTTGACAAAAAGTAACATTTGGTTGACTGGTGCTAAGTATAGCCAACACATTGAGTCTATGGCATGGAATCAGTTTCATTGGTTTACTCATGGATTTCATTGCATTCATTAAATGCAAACAATTTATTGGATCTCAAAAGTTTGCGATAATATTACAGTCATTACAGTTTGGGACCATTTTAAAGGTTTAATGTTTATTACAATCATTTATTACTATATTATTTATTTAATATATTTTATCATTTCAGCGCATATTGTGGGCAATACTTACGGCAATACTTGTGCACCAATTATACGACATATCTGTGCATTACTTCCGCTTTGAATCACATATTATAATTGACGCCAAAACCTACGAATCGGACCGTAATTATCCGTACATTTCATTAGTCATTGATGACTATAGAATTTGGCGAGAGATACCTGAGTTAATTTGCTTGGATAACGAAAGTGACAATGTTCAAAGAAATTGTCAACTTGATGTTACAAATAAACAATTATTTAATAATACATTTTATGGAACTTACTATTTAGCAGGCAAAAATATTACACATTTAATTAAATTAGTTATAAGTTATTATTTTCCAGGTACTATCATTAGGATAAATACGTTATACATAAATGAATCGGTTTTGGATTGTAATAGAAATCAAGTTTTAGATATCATTCACAAATTAAGTGATTTGAAAGTACAGAATATTGTGTTTCATTCACATATATATCCAGATATTAATGAATTAAGTCATGAAAGACAACCATTTAATGGAATGAATAACACGATAATAATCAGCAAAACACTGAAAACACTGTTAACCAGACCTCACGGCAACTGTAGTTATTATGACGGCGCGAGTGGACAACCATTTGGTGGAAAATCACACAATCATTGTATGAGACGTTGTGTCAGAATATACGCCAAAAGTGTTTACAAATGTAATCCAATTTATGTCGACAATTATATCCATGAATTGGATTTTGAAAAGGGTTTTAATGAAACGTTATGTTTTAATCGCTATAATGGCAGCCAATTAGAGCTTATCGATTCAATCAAGGTTAATTGTTTGAATTATTGTCCAAAAGATTGTCTGACAGTTGAGTACAACTCAAGAGTCATATCAAGTGATTCACAAATTGGTACCGAATTCTGGCATAACATAAGTGTGGATCAGATGTCTGTCAAGAAGTCATTGGTTTGGGACTCAACACAACCCCTGTATGTCTATCGGGAGGAACCGGTGATGTCTTTGACAGACTATATGTCATATACTGGAGGACTGTTTAGTCTNTTGACAGACTATATGTCATATACTGGAGGACTGTTTAGTCTATGGTTTGGCACAAATGGCAAACACTTTACCCTTTGGTTAATAGACACCATTCATGTCATAAGCATTTGGTTTTCACACAAATATATTCAATACTTTTTTGATAATAGGGTTCATGTCATACACTCATAAAAAGTAAAATTTTAATTTAAAAAAAATTATTTAATAAACCATTGATTACATTGCATTCAATAAACCATTTGGACGTTGGGTTGTTAAATAAACCTAAGTAACAGAAGGGATACTGTAATCAATAGGATTGTACTTTGTTACAGTCTTAACAATACAAATAATAATTAATATTTTACTTTAATATGTTTAAATTAAAATAATTTATTTATAAAACTTTAGTTATAAGTTGACTAAACTATAAAAAGTGATTTTGTAAAATATTATCTATATTTAATAAAAATAATTCAAATAATACCTGATATTAGAGCCTATAGCTTTAAGTATACGTATCTATGTAAATTATGTTTAATTGCAAAAATTTAAAGTATTAATGATTAAATAAATATATTATAGTTATATTTTTGTCATATAATGTAAATTATAAATTTATTAAATTAATTTACAAGAAAATATTGGCAATATGCTTTGATTTTTAGTATAATTTACTTAGGTTTAATTTGCAGCCGGTAGTCCATTTATTTATAGTTTGAGAACAAAGTAAAAATCTGATAGAGTTTATGGTATAAATTCTTAATAATATTTTGACAAAACATTGAGAATTAATTAGATATTTATTAGTAAATAAATCGGAAAAACTGTAAAAAGGTGTAATTCAATAAAAGTTTATGAAAGTAAATTTGATTCAAGATAAACTATTTAAAAAAGTCTTATTAATATTCAACAAAAACTCTGTTCTTATAATTAACTCTAAATTCTTTGCTTCTAATTCAAGAAAACTATCAAAACATTGCACTTTAGTATCGCAATTATCATCAATGCCGTCATCGATGGTAAACGAGGGCTAAGTTAAAACACTATATTATACAATATTATAAATTTTTGTTATCACTAGCTCATTTTAAAGGCCTAAATATGTTCTCATTGATTCTGAAATAATCACTAATAAATATTAACATGGTCACCTGTGGTCAAAAAGAGAACTTTCAAAAATGTCATATGCAATTAAATATACATAATTGGCTCACAATGGATATCTTTACACTATTTAAAAGCCCTTTAATTTTGTTTAAAAAGTTTACAGATCAATTTATTCTAGTTTGATAATAAAATGACAACACTTAATTTATTGCACCAATTTAGGGTACGTGCTAGTAGTTTTTGGAAATAAATGATCAAAGTCAATTTAAATAATTATCATTTGACTCTTACTGTCGAATGAAGACTAATAATATATCAATAATTCTGTGCATTTAATTATTAAATATCAATTAATATAATAATTTAGAAATATTTTCATTATAACACACCAAAAACGAGCATTATTTTCTGAAACCCCTGTTATTACTTATAATTTATTTAATTTGATGAAATTTTCCTTATTTTCATAATTTATGATCTTTATGCGTATAAATCTAATAAACATACAAATTATTACACACATTAACCTTGGGTTTTATTCAAACGAATATTTCTAAGTTTTTCCATTACTTTTGCATTAAACTCTTTTTGAATTCATTGATTAAACACTTGAACCATATTTAATTGATTTAAATACCAGAAAAACAAGTTTTTAAACAGTTTTTCCTCTTAATTCTGAACAGTTCATCATTCCAGAATAACCTTGCACCTCTATATCCAGTGGAATATCAAAATACTTTTAAAAAGCAAAACTTTCTTGTATTCAAAATGAGTCTCAAACATCTATAAAATCTTATAGAAAGTGTGGACAGTCTGTGAGCGCCGGCAGCGCGTTGTCTATCATCGACGTCGGGATGTTGGCCTCAATCCACTTCAGGTGATCCTCAGTCTCTCTGCTGATGACGGCCTCCTTATCCCCGGACTCCATGTGATGGTTGCCGTGGTTTCGCATTTTCATGCCGTCTGTTCCCCGAAATCAGTGAAAATCAAAATCAATGAGAAATGACATCAAAAGACACCGCAATGTCTGAGACACTGACGGAACGCCTCGCGAGGTATTTGTTGGTCTCTGTCGTCGTCCTCGTCTTCGCTCGCGTCCAGCAGTGGTGTGAAAGCGTATCTGAAGTACAAACACGTTATCACTTAAATAGTTCCCGCAATATCTGTGGACACAAACCGTAGGTTATTATCGGTGGGCCTCCACAACACCATAATCACTGCGAGAACCGCTGAGAACAAGAGGTGCCAATAGGCCTCGTCTACCCATAACTCCTTCCAATCCGTCAGACATTGTGTCAGTTTATGCTGTCGTATAAAGTCATACCAATTATATCAACACATTGTCCACTCATTTATAACTCAATTATTTCATACGTTATGTATTTGCCATATCATGAACGCGATCGACGCTAACATTAATCAACAAAAAAACAAAATGAAAAATGTGTGCAAAACTGAATTGACGCGCAATTCGTACCCAAAACGGCAAAAATGAAAGTATTGGTGAACTGCTTATAGAGATGCAGTTTAATGACATTCCGTCGCAACCGTAACGTACGCGTGGTTTGCACTAAACTACTGAAAACCCACCAACAGATCACTGAATCCAATACAGCCAACGGTATGCCAGCCATTAGTGTCTGATTCGTCGGATCGTTCTTTGGCTACAGATATCACCACAAAAACACTTGACATTCATCTCAACCGCCATTCCCATCAAACCATACCTTATAGATGCGAAGTACAGACGGCCAACACATACGACCCGATGTAATATCGGTCCCAATCGAGGCCTACGAGTACTCAACCATTAAATAATCTAAAATAGAAATATTCGTTCAGAAATGATCAAGCAAAAACCGCTACAGTTTTACTTTCTCGTGGCTATATATAATATAATGTAGTAAGCAAAAATATTGATATTTTCAAAAATAGTATTAATATATTTGATTTAGCATAATAATATATTATTATAAAGTTTATACATGTACTTTATATTAATAATTTATAAAATTCTAGATATTTAATCGGTTTATATTTAGATAAAAAATTAACTGATAAATTAATCTTTAATAAAACAGTCTCAATAGATATTTCAGATTAAATTATTTTATAAAATGCATAACAAATATATTATTACGAAATTAATAATTTATGCTATTTATTGTATAATTATATTCTTGTATTGCAAAATTATAACAATAAATATTAGAACATAATAGGTGTGGTGAATAAATATTACACATTAAAAAATAATTATTATATTGACTTATAAAACATTACGGTAGTATTACTTATTTAATTATATTCGGCTCTACCCTAAAATGCCTACTGCCCAAAAGGCCTACTCTGTAATAAAATATAAATATATTTTCATTTACTTTATTAATATGGACCAAAGTTAAGATATACCCTTGCTCAATAGTATTACATAAATTAATTCAATATATTTGTCGTGATTTGTACAAAATTAACATTTATAGCATAATTTTGATACAGTTTTAAAAACTGTTACAGTAATAACAGTTTGGAAAGTAAATAAATTACGTAAGATGAGACTGTCGTAATTTATGAGAAAATTAATGAGCGTTAAACATATTTGACCAATTTATCAAAGTATAAAAGTAGGCCTTTTAGTGGATAGGCGTATTTGGCGAGTCCGGTATATTCTTATATTTAGTATTGCATATAATTGTAATAATAGAAAATAATAGGTGTGGTGAATAAATATTATAAATTAAAAAATAATTACTTTATATTGATTTATACTAGTAAAATATCATAATTTTATTAAAATATTAACTATTTATTTCATTAGTGTAATAGACTGATTGTTTCAAATGGTAATATTTAAGTTAGTAATAAACATTATTTTAAAATGTCTAAAATTGTCCACTTTTATCGAAAATTATATTTACAAATAAATAATATATTCAATCAAATTATTGTAGTTTTATCATTTGTTAAAACAGTACTGATAACTTTATATAATTTAATAAAATATACAATATTTGTGATCAAAACTAAAATAGGATTTACATTCAAATCATATGTAAAACTATTGGTGAAAGTGTTGTGTCTTTCAGTGCTATTCTATAGTGGAATAGAAGTGACAAAAGAGTACTTCAGTTATCCTTATGTTTATCGACTGAGTGTTGAGTCCAATAAAGGCTTAGATTTACCGCCGATTAGTGTCTGTACGGAAAGGTATGTCTACTTCGATAAGACAAGGATTGCACCACATTTTAATTTAACTGATGAATACCAAACATATAAGCTAATGGTTGAAAATAAAACAAATATTTTAATAAATGATTGCTATAAAAGACAAAATTATCAAATTTGTAAAAATTTAATTAACTCTAAAAATTACTTTTTAAGTCAATTCTATTGGAAATATATGAGAGAATTGTTAACAAATTATACATTCAGTAATTTGTATGAGAAGTTTACAATAAAATCCAATGAATTAATCAAATGTTTGGCAAAATTGCATTCAAAACACAATAAAAGCAGAGATTCTCAAGTAATGACTGATTGTTCGGAAAGTTATGCCATTTTGGAGACTATTTATGGGAATAAAGACTTCGGAATATGTTTCACGT